GCTCCAAAAGCATACAGGATCATCAGAAAGAGCTTCTTCAACAGTTAGATTAGAATAAAACGGGTAGCAATTCGCTGCTATGTCACATTCAAGATCAGAAGCAGAGGACTGAGAGGCAAATGAGTCATCACCAGCGCAATAGAAAGTTAGTCTTGGAAAGCCTTCTGAGTATAGAGATTCAGCAGTGAGCGTCTGAAGCAGGCGAATTCCAAGACCAATTTTTTTACAGGCTGAGGCGACATTATTAGCAGAGTACTGTTGTTCTTTGCAGATTACATAGAGAGGCCTTATTACAAATTCATTGGAATAATGAGAATAAAAGAGATTTAAAGTGCATAACTCATGAAGGCATTTAAGCTGAATAATATTTTTACCCAAAATAAGGGGAACAAATAGCTTAAATTGAGCTTTGCAAGTCGGATAAGAGAATGTATATGTGTGACAACCGTTGAATCTCGTAAGAGTTATCTGAGTGCATCCACAAATAGGAAGAATCTTTCCCTTAATTTGAGCTAGGGGGTAGTTAAGGTGGGTATTATTGCCGAGGTTGTAAAGCCTGATACCCATCAATAAGGCAGGACGCGTCAAATTGAAGGCGAGTCATGAAATTAGGTACAGCAAAATAAAGTATCTTGATTAGCTGATTGCGCCTCAAAATAATTTTTTTTAAATAATTTATTTAGTAAATGTTAAGACTATTTTTATGTGTGATTTAACTAGGTAGCTCATTTTAATTAAAGTGTGTACAAGATCAAATAGCGTATTTCACTTGAATCCATATCGTTATAATAATTTTTATCCCTTCAGATAAACATAGTCCTATAAACCAAAATGATCCAAGAAATTTCAAGTTAAGCACACTTTCCACCAAAAAGCTAAGTATACATTTGAATTATTAGAAGGCTTCTGATATTCATGGCGACCTCGTCGTGTAATGGACCCCTTGTATCTATTATTTTGATAAATGGCGATTTCATGTGCTTATTTTGTCCTATTTGGTGTATTGTTGTTTCATTTATTGGCTGCTAAGTATAGAAGTAGCCTTGAGTGAAGCTATTTTATCATAAAAGTATTAGATCGTAATCGATTGAATCATACTAAGTTAGCTTAGTTTGCGTTTGCGATCAATTAGATATTCCTGTTCACCGTTTTATCTTTTCTACTGCGTTTCCATTTAGATAGATTGATAACAAAAGACTCATTTAACTTTATAGGGTTGGTTTGAACTCGTTATCGCAACTTGATCGGAGCGTCAGAGATAGCTTGCGGAATGTAACTAGTCCTCGGTTCTCTGCTACGGTATTTATGATTTCCTGTATCAGACTTTTGACTAGATACATTCCCAAGCACTTCCCCGGATCGTCAGTAGGAGACGCACATAGTTTCAACTTATTGAAATAACAAGCGAAGGCAATCACCTGACCGACTTTATGCTCAACCGTTGTGGTATCACTCCTCGCCCTTATTTTTAGTTTCACCCGTTTAATGCTACATCTCTTTCTCTCAACCTTACTTCATATGGCTAATCTACCTATTCACACAATTCTGTGCTTTCGTATCCTCCAATGTCTCCCATGAGTGTATCGCTACAAATTGGTTTCGTAAAGCGTAATCATCTCCATCACCAGCACTAGGCGCCATTTGCAGGACTCCTGACCTTTATTCATTCCTTACTTTGCCCACCTCATTTGTCATTTGGTTGCCGCTTAGCATTAAAATCCCTCTGACTATCTGAAATATATTTTCTTAAGAACCTTCCATTCCCATCCTTGATTACGCTGTATTAGAGGATTTAGATCAGATGATGTCGATGTCTATTCCAGTATCCAAGACTCTTCCTCTGACTAGGCTTCCAACTAATGACTCTCTATCCTCTTTCTCATCCCAAATCATCTTTTGTCTGATTCTTTAAGGTCCTGTGTCCGGCTTAATTCATAACTGCTGATGTAAAAATGCACCGCTTCCATTTTTCCCACACTAATCATCCTTCACGTTTACATTCCATCTAATCCTAAGGTGCTAGGGTATTGTTTATGTGTGTTGGTTTGTATCCCTTGTAGTCAAGTATCTTACCGGTCATCTCTCATTAATGCACACAATCACACACGCTGGTGACCTATATTTGGCCCACCTTTATCCTTAGCCTTTAATTGCATATCCCACATCCCACAAACGGGCCCCTGCGGGTAAATCTTTTTGGCAGTTTCAAGGTTTGTCTCTACTCACTGCAATCGCTTTTTCTAAACTTCACATGGGTTGCATTCAGAATTAGCTGAATTAAAACATAGGGCCGAGAATGGAAAGTTAATTAATAAAGACAGCACGTTAAAGAAGGTTCCAAATGTTACGGTTCACAGCAGAGCAGATAAACGTGACTAATTTATATAGTATACTTGCGTTGTTTTCCATGCCACCTGATTGGTTCTAAGTAGAGGCTAGATGCGGAACGAAGGTTTGATTGGCCGAAGTGAAATGAAGTGAGGATTCGTCATATATTTAAGTGATCCTTATGTCAATGCTTTTGAGTCATTGTTACGCACGCAATACAGCAAGACTAAACTTTGAATAAGAAGGAGTAGGTATGGATCACTATAAACTTTATCACTGGTTTGATATACCTTTTTCAGGGCCATTTACTCCGCGTGTATTCCCTTTATGACTTGCCTGAAATTTTATGTACTCTTTAGTTAAATACCTATAAGCCATCTAGTCAGACCCCCGTCTGCGATCTAGCAGAGGATTTGGCTACATGATAGGCCCCAAAAATATTATAAAAGTTGTGCTATAACCTTAGTAAAGATTACTTTACAACATGATTCTTGTACTGGCAGCCTTTTTTTAAGTCCCTAAAGCTTTAGAACTTTATCACCCAGTTATGATGTGCCAACCCTATTATTTCACAGAAGCTTGAGCATGATGTCTGTCTTTATTTGAAATTACAGTTTAAATATATATTTCTTTAATCCAATATAATTTAGAGATTTTATTTAGTTCAGCGTGGTTATAAGGGTTATATGTTTTAAAAATCTACTTATAAATGAAAAATAAGTAATTCAGCCGATCTTTATTTCAAATACAAATTTGTTTCTTGGAAAATCTCACCACAGAATGTGATATGGGAAGAGGCATGGTCTTTCTTTAACTTCCAATCCATCCTGTAGTCTAAGGGTACTCGTGGCAGTGTGGCGTATTTGGTAACATTTATCGATTATATACTGCCTTACCAGGGTTCATGTTCAGCTGGGGGTGCTAAGGTGAGGCCGAAACTACTGTTTAACCAGGATGAGAATAGTTTTTAAGAAGCAAGGCTTTGTTAAATACATCGGAAAATTTTGGGCTGCCATATTCGTTGCAT